GCCCGGCGGGCGCGTCCTCCTCCCCAGCCTCTCCCCGGCCTCTTCCCCGGAACCCCCGCGCTGCCGCCTCCCCTTCCAGAAGCGTCTCATTCCGGCCCTGCTTCCTCTCCCTCGCTCATCCAGACGTAGGGCACACCTGGCCGGCTGGCGGGAGAGGGCCTGGGTGGTGAGCACACTTCTCCCGCGCCGGGAAAATGACCTGTTGAGAAGTGGGCACGAGTCGATAGTGGGACTCAAATGACAGTGGCGTGGCCGAGAAAAATTCATTTTGCTTTGTTGAGGTGAGAAGCCTTCCACCTGTTAACCGCATCGAACAACGTGAAAAAGCCTTCCTTGCGCTTAAGTATGAATTCCCAAGGCTGTGTCATTAGGTCGTGCGCAGCTCTTGCGTTTCCTACAGCTCTGCTCTTGAAAAGGCGTGTTGTCATTTCCGATGTGAAGCACAGTCTGCTGTGTGGAACGATATTGTCACTTGGTGCTGTACTGGAACGGTGAAATATAAGGACCACAAAACAAGCTCCCCTTTCAAATATCAGGTGAAGTAAGTAAATAAAAACTGTCTATGAGAGTTTACTCCGCATCAGTCATCGGTGCAATAAACCAACTAGTTAGTAGTTTCTGCCCTCTAATATTTTATGGTTCACCGGGAGAGACAAACTGTAGCTACCACAAAGCGATGACATCTGTATGAGGCACTTGCTTGAAGTGGTCCCAGGGAAACCTGCCTTTGAAGCAGCGTGGGGGTGGGGGATAAGGGAAATGATAGCCTGTGCAGAGGAAGGGAAACTGACCTTGTGTGATATTTGAAGAACTAAGAAAAGCTAAAGGGCTGGAGAGGAAGAGGGGGCCGGGATGAGGCTGTGACGCTGATAAGGAGCCAAGTCATCTCCAAGCCTTGTGAAAGTTGTTGGAGGCCTCTGAAAGACTTCAGGCAGAGAAATGAAGTGGTCAGATCGGTGCATAATGTAGGCAGCAAAATTTGTTGAACATTTGTGTGTTCTGGCAGCAATGTGGCAGAGAGACAGGGAGTGGGAAACTTGGTAGACAGGCTGCGCAGTCATCCATGCGAGAAGTCCCGCGAGCGTGAAGTGAGCCTAAGCAAGCTTTGAGAAGAAGGGCTACGGTAGATGTCAAGGAGGTGGATCTGCAGGACCTGCCGGAGGTCTGGTGAGCTGCAGTGGCTGTGAGTGGAGGGAGCCTAGGATGGCTCGCGCTTGGTCAGGGTTGTGTAATGAGAGAGAATGCCAGCACTTTAACCTTTTACATTTTTAGTGTTTGTGGTGTGTTCAGGTGGAGCGGTCCCGTTGAACATTAGATACAGAGGTGTAAAACTTGGTAGAGGGTCCTGAGCCAGGGATATTAATTTGAGAGTTACTGGAAGTGTCATTTCAATCTCAAGGATCGTGTGTATTGTGGAACGGACCTAGTTCCAAAGACGTAACCTTTAAGAGTTGGTGAAAAGTGTGGAGAAGCCTGAGGAGTACTGGAGAAGAAACTAGGTGGCGGTAATGCCCCAGGAGCTGAGGAAGACAGCATTGATGCAGGTAAGAGGTGGTCAGCAGTCTTGTAATACATCTGACATCAGATAAGATTAAAAGAGTGTTCATTGGTTTGGAGAAGTTGAAGGTGACTGGGACCTTTGGACAGTTGGAGTGGAGCAGTGGGGACAGAAAGCTTCTTTATAGGATGTTAGTTAAAAAGTGATGGAAACTGTTCCCCGGAGCTTGGCTGTGAAGCCAGCGGGAGCAGCATTGTAGACGAGGAGCGCGTCATCTCTGCCCCACTGCCATTGCCCTGGTCCACGCTGCCGCTTTCACTCCACCCGGGCCTCTGCTCTTGGCCACCTATAAAATCTAAAATTCTTTCATGGCTTATACGGCCCTGAAGGCTCCACCTCCTGCCCCTTCTTGGGCCTCACGTTCCTGTGCCCTTATTTCTTCTACTTCGCGCTTGTTAAACCAGCTGAGCTCATCTGCACCTGAGGCCCTTGCCTCACAGCTGACGGTGCTCAGGATGCTCGCGTGGACTTTGCATGCTGCTTGCATCTTGTATTCAAGACTCTGCTTACACATCAGCGCCTTGGGCTCGCCTTTTCTGACCACTAGATCCAGGGCACTCCGCAAGACCTCCTGCTTCCACTTGTTACTCTCCGTCACGTCCTCCTGGTTGTTTTTACTGCCGTTGGTACTGTCCAGTGTGGTGACAGCGAGCCGTACATGGCTTCAGAGCCTGTGAAATGTGGGCAGTGCAACTGAGGAACTGAACTTTTAACCTAATGTAAATTCAGATAGCCGAGTATGGCTAATAACTATAACACAGAGTGGCTCAGGTGTAGATGCTAAAACTCAAGATCCTACGGGTTGAATACTTGTCTAAGCCCACAGAATAAAGAGCATAGCCAAGATGCGAACTTCAGCCCGCCAGTTGGGGTTGTACACATATGGGTACTCCATTATCGGAAGTAATTTGCATTTTGTTTATAGGCTGGTTTCTATAGTTCATTACTCTTTTAAGTTAAATTCTTAGGTTTGAGCCAGGGATTTACCTCAGTGGTGCCTCCTGCCTTGCAAGCGCAAGGTCCCCAGTTTGATCCCCAGTACCAAAAAAAAATTCTTAAGCTGACATTTGTTAGTACTATTGTGACTACCCTCAATCATACAAAAAATAAACAGGAAAAAGACTTACCCCATGAACCCCTTTGCAAAACCTATATTTTAACCATATCTGTGATATGATATAAATACTATGTATAACTAAAACTATAGTATAAAGTACATATTATATAAAACTATTTTAATATGCTATATATTAACTATACTTAAAACTGTATATTAAAAATAGTGCTTTAATTTACACATAAAAATCAGAAAAATAGCTTTTTCTCTGGGTAGTGTACTTAGAATTCTTAGAATGACTAGGGCTTTGGATTTCTGTAGTCATCTCTGGCTATCTTTTACAAAGCATCAGGTTTGTTAAGAGCTCTTCATTAAGAAACCCTGAACTTAAACTTTGTTACAGCAAAATTTTATAGAGTAAGAATGAAGTTAGGGGCCAGGGGGCACATTTCAGTGGTGGAGTGTGTACTTATCCTGAGTCCTGGGTTCAATCTCCAGAATCCCTTCCCACCCACCCCCCAATAAACAATAGGTTAGGACCTCATGAACACTGCTGCTGGCAGTGATGGTTTTGCTCTTCTTCACCTTATTAATGTTATGAATGGTTCCCTTGTTAGGAAGCAAACTCTTGAGATAGTTTTTAGGGTTTTGTTTTTTTTTTTAATCTGATTCAGTTTTAATTTCTTAATGCAGCTGGTATCTAGAGGATATGTAAAAACAAAAGAATTATGGAGCTGGAGATTTAGCTCAGTGGTGCTGCTGCCTGCCTCGTAAGTGTAAGGTCCTGAGTTTGATCCCTGGTACCAAAACAAGAAAAGAAAAGAAAAATAAAAAAGAATTATAGAAGCTTATCAGTTGACTTAGTATGCTTTTATTTTTGTATAGACAGCTGCTAAAGATATTTTTGCTTCCTGGTACCTGGGCACCCAGAATTTAATGCCACTCTCTTCTATTGAATTGTTGAATAATAGTATGTCTGTATGTTACTTTGTATTTTGTATCTGAATTATAAAATAAGTTGTGTGTAGCTTTAAAAGATCTTAGCGCTACTATTTCCCAGTGTTCACATCAGTGATAACTATTAATAGTGTTTTTAAAATCAGGTGCCATCATTTCAAACATGAAATCTGGTCTTACTACTTGGAAATTGTAGGAATGAGTATGAGCCTCTTTTTATGGGTCCCCACTTAGCCATAGGGTGACATGATTTCCAGGAGGCTGATTTCTAGATCTAGTCTCCTGAAATTTACATTCGAGTGGATAATAAATAAATATGTGTGCAGATGGGGTCAGAACATTTGATCATAACTTCAGTTTTATAACACTGCAGATCTCTTAATTTACCTAATAGTAAAATAATTTTCCAGCTGACATACTAGAAATATAGAGCAGTTTTTCCTTCTTGCCTGTTTTACTGAAAAGATAGAAGATAAGGCATGCAGCAAATAATACTGGCGTCATCAGCTGAAATCATGTTGTTTGTTTGGCACTGGGGATTGAACTCGGATTCTTGCGCTAGCAAGGCAGGCGATAGACTGAAATCACGCTTTTATGTGGTCACTGACGAAAATGCCTGTGTGTTCTGGACTCTGTTTTTTCCCACTGATGTGTGTGTGTCTGTTCCTGTTCATTTCATGTGTGGTAGAGGCAGTCCCTGCCAGCCCCCCTACCAAAAATATCTGTTCTTCTTCCAGTTGAGCTTTAGCATTATGTGTCAAGTTCTAAATCAAAGCCAAGTTCGTACTGTGACTTTGATGAAAATTGTCTGAAGTTCGTGTGTCAATTTAAGACTGATTGACATTTAGCCAGCATGCGTATTTTTTCCTATAGCTAAATTTATTGAGGTATAATTGATGGATAAAAATTATATATATTAATAGTGCACGGTGTGATGATTTGATAGAGGATTACATTGTGAAATGATTATTACAGTGAACATATCCATCACGTACTTTTTTTTTCTTTTTGGTGGGCAAAACACTTAAAATCTATTCTTGGCAAACTTTAGGTACACCCCATGGTGTGACCAGCCATCGTCACTGGGGTTTGCCGAGTCTTGGATCTGCAGAGTTCACTCCTCTTGTAGCTGAAAGTCTGTGCCCCTGGTTCTCCCACACCCTCCCCAGCCCTGAGCACCGTGCCACTCTGCCTCTGAGTTCAACATTTCACAATTCTACATATAAACGAGGGCATACAGAATTTGCCCGGACATATCTTCTGTGTCCTTTAGCAAAGTTTTTGTTTTGCACATAAATCTTATACATTTCTTTTAAATATATGCGTGTCTAGATGCATGATTAAACTTATTTTCAGGACCAATATCCACTCACCATTTTTCAAAATTGCTGATTAATTTTTGTTTCCTGTCTCTATTTTCTCTTTTACCTGAGAGCTGTGTAACAGTTCCCTACAATCCCTAAGTGGCTTCTTTTTATCTTTAAAGCTTGCTTATCTTTGCACATCGCTGACTTGTTCATCTCATTGCGTGTGCGGTCCGTATGTTTCTGCTCTTCGCATGCTTTTTCAGCTGGTCATCAGTATGTGTAAATACAGGTGGACCTAAGAAAACACAGATTTTCTGTAGAGGACACACTGCTCTGTGGAACGCTCTACAGCTTTGCGCTCTGCCCTGCATCCTGTTGCTGTCTCACTTGTGCTAATAGATCTGTAACTGGGATTAGAACTGCCAGCAGCAGCATCACGCTGGAGTGAGAAGGCTGCCCCGTGACTTGACCCAGCACTGGGGCTCATGCATTGGGAACCAGGATGACCAAAAGCAAGGAGGGTACACCCTGGGTCTGCCACTCAGCCCCACATGTGCTTGAGTGCATCTGGGACCCCTTTTGAATCAGACCTCATCTGCAGATGAAGAAACAGTGGTCCAGACTTCACGGGGACGCTGGACTGCTCATAGCAACTTTGCATGTAGTGAAGATCACACACGTGTTTATTATTATTTTTTAACAAAGATACTGATGTGAAGGGCTCTTGTCCCCTGAAATATGAAAATGAACACCACAGGAGTTCTAAGTTAATACATTTTCTGTCACTGGGACTTTGAACATTTTTGTCTTTAGTGTCATATGATGTAGGGCATAATTAAATGTCATCTGAGTACCCACATTTGTAATTATAATGTTCAGATTGCCCAAGAAACCTGTGTGTCGGGTTGTATCTCAGTTGGATGTTTGTCCTTATTTTAGGAGTGCTAACTGTGAAAAAGAACATGCCATCTGTATTTTTTCTTCACTGTGGATCCAAAATATTTAGGTTCTTAAGGAATACTGTTAAAATTACCAGCTTTTTTCTATGTGTACTTAAAGCAAAAAACAAAACTGTAACAGCAAAATTAGACTGGTATAGGAAGAGTCAAGGGAAATGTAGGATTGGCTTGTAGAGTACGAAGAAATTAGCTTTTGCTAGCAGTTTTTTCATACCTTCAGTCACATTCCGTAGTGTCAGGCTCTCTATCTTATGAGCCGTAGTTACTCTTTTTTCTGTTGCTTTGACGATAAGGGTTGTAAGAAACAAAATTAGTAAAGAAAAATAAGTTCCTTTTTAAAATACATAATATATTATTGCCCTTTACTCACTGACTCCTTTTGAAAAACAAATATAAAGGAGAATAGAACACAGGAAATTTCTTTTTGGGGTTTTTTTTGTTTTCTAAAGGTGGCCTAATGGTAAACCTAAAGTTTTCTTAGGGTTTTGACTAAAGCATGTTTATTTTTATAGCAGTCCTGCCTGAGCCTAGCAATATGTGATGTATTTCAGCATTAAAGTATTTCCAGTCTCATTTCATGAGCTGATGACCAGGATATATGTTCTTTATGACAAAGATCTAGCCTGATTTTATCACCCTGGTTGGAAAGAAATGGATCCCTGCTTATTGAAAATGGGGTTGCTTGTTGCCTCCTTATTTTAAATCA